TTTGCCCGATGTGCCCACCATGGCTGGGCCCTGCCTGCCCGAACTGCCGTGCCACGCCCTTCCTACTCGATCCTCCACTTCTGGGCCCACAACCATCATTCCGTTTAACTGACATGAAATGTTCAGCAAGTTATTTTTCAAATGCCAAGTATTCTTACAATTTTCATTCGTTACCGTGGGAGACAAAGTGGAAAGATAAACACACTCAGACAATGGTCCTGGCACCCTTATCAACCTATAATCCCTGAAACAGTTTGCTGAGAGGGCTATGCCTGACGAAACTTGTGCGGCCTGGGGGAGTGGAGACTCACCCTGCTATCACAGGATGCAGATAAGGAGAGGGTCCTCTGGAGGAAGGTCACCCCTGCTTTTTGTCAGCAAAGGTGCTCTCTTGTGCACCCCAGGGCGTGAAGACTTCCTGGGCCCTACCCAGAGATCTCTCACTCACACAAAAATCCCTAAAACGAAACTTCCCTGAAAGGGGCGGTGCACGCTAAGTGACAAACATAAAAGGGCAACACAAGTGCCACGTGAAAGAACTTCTGAACAAGCACTCCTACGGACCTTCACTAGACCAATGCTGGAACCCGGAACAGTGATCTCTCTTTTCCCATCCCCTTCCTTCTTTCTTCTTGTCCATTTACCTTTTTCTAGTAAAGTAACACAAGGCATAACACCCTTGACACCTGGCGAGCAATAAGCATTTTTGGTGTCTAATTGTTTACAAATGAGCCTAACTACGGAATAAGTTTCTGTTTACCTACAGTCCTCAGGTGTTGTATACACCCTATTCCAACCCAGGGAATCGGTGAACCTGAGTCACTTCTCCCTCCTCTCTGAACGTGACAATTATGTATTTCATTTCATAGTACCTTCCAAATCATACAGAGAACAGCAGCAATAAAAACACAAGTATCCACACAATTTACCTTTTAAAAATACACGATGGAAATTTCTCACCTGCATAAATCATATGTTCATTAAAAAAAACCTCACCAAACAAACAAAACACAACTGTCTCCCTTTTCAAGGTAAACACAGTAGTGATACAGGCTCAGATAAATTCTCTCATACTGTAATTTCAGTCTTATACATGGAGAAAATAACTGAAAGGGCTAATCTACAGTAGAATCATAGAATCATAGAATGGTTAGGGTTGGAAGGGACCTTAAAGATCATCTAGTTCCAACCCCCCTGCCATGGGCAGGGACACCTTCCACTAGACCAGGTTGCTCAAAGCCACATCCAGCCTGGCCTTGAAGACATCCAGGGATGGGGCATCCACAACATCTCTGGGCAACCTGTTCCAGTGCCTCACCACCCTCTCTGTGAAGAACTTCTTCCTGATATCTAATCCAAACCTCCCCGTTTTCAATTTGTACCCATTACTTATTCATTCCAAAGTAAAAACGCCCTTTTCGAGTTAATTTAACCATGAAAATAATGAGTATTTTATTCTCATATAGTGAAGGCCAATGCACATTAGTCTCACTTCATCTCTTAACAGATAATTAAAAACCCCTACTATTTCAGGGACTTCAATGGTCAGGCTACCTCTGTTTTGACCAAAATTTACAGTAAACTCAGTAACTACATGCGTACTGGAAAGATATGTCTATATAACAAAATATGTCTCATATTATTTATTTTATAAAAATATAAATTTTCTTTATTTTAATGTAGCAACTCCCAAAAGAGTTTCAATGTTGCTTCAAAGACATCCACAAAACAAATTCCTATTTAGAGGTAATAACATCTCTAAGCATATTCTCAATTCCAAGAGCTCATTTTATACCTCTAGAGAGAACAGCAAGAAAAATGCCTGAATATTAAAATGTGTCATATGAAGCCTTCTTCCACAAATAAAGTTACTCTAATTCACATATTCCATCAAATATAATCAGATGAATAAGTAGTTATTTGATAATCTAACTCACACAAACTTAATTCTGTGACACTGAAAACATCATACTTACCTTTCATGATTTGGCAACTGCTGCCTGGACTGAACAGCTTTGATTAATTCAATAAAAAACCCTGGTTTTATAATTGGCCGACCACAAATCAAAGCACATATAGTCTGAAAAGGCAGAAAATATGTATTTACTGTATGGAATATGTTCAGCTATAATATGGTCCTACTGACATTAGCTTTTTAATATCTTAGATGTGAAAAGCATCACACAAACAAATAGAACAATACTGAATTTTGCTACTGAAAAACAGAATAGTTTTGTTTCTAAGAGCCTAGCTTTTAACTACTGTCTTGACCAAAGTTATGAAAATCTACAAGGCAACTGATGAAAATCAGTAACAGTCCTCAAAATTGGCTTTTTTAATTTTCCTTCCCTCCAACCTCTCATCAACATATATCTCTGTCTAAACTTGGAAGAGCTGACTTCATTGTTTTCTAGAGGAAAATCTTGAGCAGGTCTAGAATTTAATTCACATTTTTGGGGAAAATGCAAAGCAACACCACCTATATGCAAAAGCTCAACATACCTTAACAGTAACTTTTACTGATACCATTACTCACTCTTTCGTCCATTCATTCACTAGAAGGCCTCCAAGCTGCTGGATGGCTTGATGTAAAGCAGTTTTCTGAGCAACATCTAAACATGAGGAGCAGACAACCAAAGATTCATACTCTACTCTGGAAAGAACAAGTAGAAGAGTATCGCTTTAATTATTGCAGCCAATCATTATGGTCAACAGAGCTGTCTTATCTATCTTGTTCGTAGACCTGATGTCGGAAATATTTCTAAGGACTTTTGGATCTTTCACAGACATCACACAAAATTAGCAGTTCAAGAATACTGCAAGGTCAAGGAGCATCAGAAGCAATTGAGCACGTGCTTCCAGAGGCAAAAGTATGCTCAACAGAACAGTCCACAAACAGACTAGTACTTTGAAAAAATGTGTCATAGAATGCAAGTTCAAGTAACTTTTTCTTCCCTAACACTGCCATTACCCTTGACCATACGCCTATTTATGTCTGTAGATCTTCCATATGGAATCACAGCATACCAAGTTCCATGATGCGATTTGGTTTAGTCTACACAGCAGAAAGAAATTTAAATAAACCATGAGGTATCTCGTCTCACAGCATGATTCCTGTACCATGTATCAGGTATGTGTATCTAAAATATCAAAAGTAATTTATTACAATAAGTGGAGAAGAACACAGGTTTTTCATCAAATAATATAGTGACAAAAACGGAGTCAAATTTTAAGGAACAAAGCTGGCTTCTGGTTGCTCTAATATTGCTCTAATATTGATTTTAACTGTCATTAGAATTTGTTCTATTTACCCGCCACTTCACACCAAGGAGTGTTTCATATAGTCAAACTCACAGCACTAGCTACCATGCGAAATCTGAAAAAATAGCAAGTTGGGTTCACTAAAGAGAATGCAGGCATACATCACAGCAACAAACACTGAATGGCCAGCACTGCACAAAGCATCCTCCAGCTCTCTCTGTTCTCTCCTTGTTACATTATCAACAGCTAACAAGGGCTCAGACAAGCCCTCTCCCTCCTCTAAACCTTCCACCCTTCTTCAGAACCATTCATGTTTTAGGATTTTGTTATCTGCCTAAGATAGCCTGAAAACACTTACTGTACACAATACAGCATCTTTTAAAATGCCAATGCTCTTGTACGAACAAATTTCATCTCCTAGTGTCAAAAGAAATTATATTATAAAAATATGTAATGGAAAACAATTGCAGAAGCAGGTATGGAACAGAGGCAAAATATTACTCATCTCCTTTGCTTTCTAAAAACTCATCACTGCTATATCAGTTGCCAAGTTGTATGATGTGCAAAAATACTGTTTTCAAAAACTGCAGTTTTCTAATTGATATTTTACAATCAAAGCACTTACCTAAACTTGCTCTCAAAGACTCCAAAGTTGATTCTGTCACCAGACTGCAATGACACTGAAGTGCCATTGAGTTTTGATCCATTAACAAAGGTACCATACTTAGATGTATCTTTTACTGTTAATACAGGGACTGAGAGACACTGGCTCTGAAAATAAATATAAATAAGCCATTATGGTTTGTCAGAATTACACAGATTTATCAGAAACAGGTTATTACCATTATGGATCACAGCAGTAGATAAAAAAGAATAATATTCCTAAATAAAGACTTTGGATGAGGCTGACTACGTGTAATTATTCATCTTCTCATTTTCATTGTGAAGGCATGAGATAAAACATGTATAAGTTCAGCTTCAGAAATTTTGTGTTTCTTACACTCAAACTTTCAGGAGGCTGTGCAAGGCAATCACTCACTGGCCCAAAACCTCTGCTAGTGTGATGTAGTGAAATTTATTACTGATGCTTTTACTTGCCATTCAGCCCTGGCCCAAGTCACTTTTCCTCCCTTCCTTCCACTAGACCAGGTTG